CAATTAGTATGACCAAGGCAGATGCAGGAGATAAATTATAAAACGAAGATCAACCTTCCTCATTGCCTGTTTTTCTTTGTAAGATGCGAATAAAACGTTGTTTGCAGCCGTTCACAGCGTTGAGCAGTATGAAAAATGCTCTACTACGCGGTGTAGGCAGGGGAGACGGTCAAGAGGCGCGATCTCTCGAAGTCATCAGTTTAGCAGCGCAATTTAGAGCCAAGAGGGTGTACCAAGTATACCAGACAGAGTGCTTTAGCTTACTTACAAAGGGCGGACCCGGACTCGTCAGTGCCGATCGAGGTAAGCTACAGGCCATCCGAATCAGTGTGAAACGCTGATCTCAAATCTGTAATCATTATCTAGTGGCTCTCTAAAAAGAATGAGTTATTATCAATTATCTTCGTTAATATGCACAGTCTCGTTAACTACGGTTCGCAGCGGTAAACCAGATGTGGTGGTAGGGTCCAGAACGAGTGTGGCAAGTGGACACCGGTGAACGATTTCGCTTTTGCCGCTATCGATTTTTTACGATTACCCACTTGATCGCGGCAGCTGCACAGGTTGTTTGACTGGAGCTGTCATTCTGTCAAAAACCGCGTCGTTGCTATCCCGGATCTTAGGAGAAGTGGAGGAGTTTTGGAACTAAAATATTACTATACGCTAATAAGTGTAGAAAATCCTTTCAAAATTGTGTTAAAATTTTGAAAACATAATGTGAATGGTTTTGGTTGGTGGTTTTGGTTGGGTTGGTTGGTTTTGGTTTTAGTTTGGTTTGGTGGTTTTGGTTGGTTTTGGCTGGTGGTTTTGCCTACTTCAGGGCATTAGGTGGGCAATTGCCCACCTAATTTGAAAAAAGTTAAGCAAAATTAATATAGTCGTCCTCAGCCCACTAGACACCTAGTGGGTGCATTCGAATCTGCACTAGAGCATGCCGGCTGAGGCAGAGCGCGGCACCGTCGAATGCATTTCAAGCTAATGCAGTTTTCGTTTCTGTTTTGTTGTCGTTGCATTGTGATTTTTTTTGTTTTAATGATGGTTGTAATCAGAGTTGAGAAAATTTGTTGCTTAGCGATGTTCGTAGTATCATGCTCATTTCTTTGATCTGCTTTCAGGAAAGGTTGGAAAAACGATACACATTGAGAATTTTGACATGAAGTTTTCAATGAATGCTGACAGTTTTCTCAATTCCTATTGAAATTGTTGTTTTCATTCGAGCGATGAATCGTGCTGCTATGCTCGTTTCTTTGACTGCCATTCCAAGTTGAGCTTGGAAAAACGACTAAGTTCAAAAGCTAGTGAAATTTTTCTCCGTAAGTCTTGAAGTGTTGCTTCATTGAACACTTCATGTCAAAACTCTCAATGTGTATCGTTTTCCAACCTTTTCTGAAAGCAGATTAAAGAAATGAGCATTGTACCACGAACATCGCTAAGCAACAAATTTTCTCAACTCTGATTACAATCATCATTGAAACAAAAAAATCACGATGCAACGACAACACAACACAAAAGGAAACTGAATTAGCTTGAAATGCATTCGACGGTGTCCCGCTCTGCCGCAGCCGGCGTGCTCTAGTTCAAATTCGAATTCGTCCACTAGGTGTATAGTTGGGGGAGAACGACTGTATTTACAAAGGTTTTTCTTAATTTTTCATACTTTCTTCCTTAGCCCTACTGCGCGTACAGTCTGCCCCAATCGGGATCAGGCCGAAGCGTCGGCGTAGATTTGCGCGCTCGCAGCGCTAGCGGTCTGCGCTGCATATGCGCGCTGTTGGAGAGAGCCAAAGGACTGAAGAGAGGGCAGAGAAGCAGGCCGTGGGCGTGACCGCGAAACCCTAGCGACGCGGACTCCCGCCATGCCAATTTTGGCCTGGTTAGGATTGGGGCAGACTGTATATACACCAAGTTTCTGCCACGTCGTCATCTGTGCATTGCAAAAAAACCAATTTATCATTTTATGATAGTGCGATATTATAAAAAAAAAGCTTGCCACAACCTTCAGCCACATAATCTTTACGCGATACTGTGCACTATGCTCTTCCTAGTACATGTCCGTTCACATCCAAATTCTTTCTCATTTCGTAATCAGTGCGCCGTAACCAAGACATTCAATTACATTTCATTGAAAAAAATTGGATTTTTAGAGACGCCGCGCGAGCAAGATTGTGTTTCTGCTTGTCATTCGTGTAGCAAATTGTCGAGAGAGTGTATGGACGCGTAAACGTATATTTGCGATATCTACTTTACTTTACATTCAGTACGACTTCCAGCTTGACATTTTCCACCTCGTGACAGGACCTTTTGGTGGTTTGGTGTAGTGAATAAGCGCGGAGCCTATGGGGCAGATAGTCATTATTCAAATCCTTCTCCTTTTCAAATTTTTGCAAACTAAGAATATACCTTTTATGTTAGAAGGGGTGGCCCGCGCACATGCACAGATCTTATGAAGATTTTAGCCGCTGGTATAAACATCCATCAAAATTAAAATCATTTTTATTTTTATTTCAAAAATACACTCGAGGTGCACCAGAATGTAAAAGAAATAAAAAGAAGGTCCAAACAAATGAGACCAGCCAATCCTCAGTTTCAAGAGAAGATAAACGAAAATAGGATGGAAAAATAGAAGCCACGAAGCCTGGACAGGTGAACGAAAGTACACTTAATTTAAAAAAAACAATCCATGGTTTGTGGGTGACAATCGTATTTCAACTACTATTTCTTACGCTTTAATCCAAAAAACATTAATCAAGAAGAGAAAAATCTTGTCTTCTAAACCTGGTCTTGCTAGAACATACACAGAAACATGTTGAACAAGAAAATGGACATGCATGTGTATGTGAGTTTGCAAAAAGTAGTTTTGCTTTTTGCACAAGTTTTCGGTGGGTGGTATCTTACCTCCTGAAAGGATTCGCTTCCTGCGATTTTGCCACGCCAAGCCGTCAAGAGGGAAAAATCATCAATGGCTTCTGCTCAATTCTGCGAGAAGCAACTTACGGATGGATATGTAAAAACTCATAACATATTTGGATATGTAAAAACTCGCAACATATTGTCACCGACATACAGGATTTCAATTCAGATGGTTCATACCAGCGGCTAATCTGGGGTCTGTGCATGTCCGCGGGCCACCCTAACATAAAAGATTTATCCCTAGTCTGCAAAAATGTAAAAAGCAAAAGGATTCGAATCCCGACTATCTGCCCTATAAGCTCCGAGCATATCCACTACACCAAACCACCAAAAGGTCCCGTCACGAGGTGGACAAATGTCAAGATGAAAATTGTTCCTGGATGGAAAGCAAAGGGGATATAGCAAATATATGTTTACACGTCCATACACTCTCTCGACAAGTTGCTACACGAATGACAAGCAGAAACACGATCTTGCTCGCGCGCGTCTCTAAGCCATTTTTTTCATTGAATTATAATTAAATGTCTCGGTTGCGGCGCACAGATAACGAAATGACGATAGGATTTGGAAGTTGCACGGGCATTAGTGGGAAGAGCATAGAGCAGAGTATCGCGTGAATATTGAAAAAACTTGGTTTAGCGTGTAACACTTTGGCTCCAAAACTCCTCCACTTCTCCTAAGATCCGGGATAGCAACGACGCGGTTTTTGACAGAATCAGTCAAACAGCTCCAGTCAAACAACCTGTGCAGCTGCCGCGATCAAGTGGGTAATCGTAAAAAATCGATAGCGGCAAAAGCGAAATCGTTCACCGGTGTCCACTTGCCACACTCGTTCTGGACCCTACCACCACATCTGGTTTACCGCTGCGAACCGTAGTTAACGAGACTGTGCATATCAACGAAGATAATTGATAATAACTCATTCTTTTTAGAGAGCCACTAGATAATGATTACAGATTTGAGATCAGCGTTTCACACTGATTCGGATGGCCTGTAGCTTACCTCGATCGGCACTGACGAGTCCGGGTCCGCCCTTCGTAAGTAAGCTAAAGCACTCTGTCTGGTATACTTGGTACACTCTCTTGGCTCTAAATTGCGCTGCTAAACTGATGACTTTGAGAGATCGCGCCCCTTGACCGTCTTCCCTGCCTACACCGCGTAGTAGAGCATTTTTCATACTGCTCAACGCTGTGAACGGCTGCAAACAACGTTTTATTCGCATCTTACAAAGAAAAACAGGCAATGAGGAAGGTTGATCTTCGTTTTATAATTTATCTCCTGCATCTGCCTTGGTCATACTAATTGTGGGGGTGACGACGGCAATTCCTTTCGCATTCTCCTCTGTGAGCGAAACTCATTTCTCCTTGTTGTTTTAGGGCCTGCACACATTTTCCTTGACGGCATATATATGACCTGAAAGCATTACACTTTTGCTGCCCATTAGGACGATGTAAATTAAACTTACGGTTTCGGTGGTTCCCCCGCGCTCGCTAGTACTGATAAACAAGCTCCCAGGTATAGGAAAAGCAAAAAGTTCATACTTATCTTCAGCAATGTATGTGCTCTAAAGAATATTCTGATGCAATTCTGATTATTACGTATAACGGAATGCGGGTGAAGAGCGACATGGCAGCATTTACAACTGATTAGTTTGTTACCCTTTTTCAGAAGCAGTAGTACTGAGGAAGATGGAATGAAATCGAAGTGCTATTAGGAGATCAGGATTAGACAATTGAAGTTGAACTGCGTTTGCAGAGAATGAGTGAATGAGGTGAGAAACTCGAGATTCTGTTAGTATTCGACTGGGGTGCTAGGATTCGTAATGAACTACGTATCCTTGCGAAATGACTGACTCTGAGATTGCAAGGGTTTATAAATTTTACTGCGCTCAGCTGGAAAAAGCTGTCTAAACACACCAATCGCAGGGTGTCTGAAATGCACGTTTGCAAGTTTGAAAATCAACATCTCCGTTATTCCAATTTTTCTAATGGCTGCTTAATACGTATGAGCGGTTAACTTTGAAAACTGTTGACTTTGTTAACTTTCGGAAACCAGTAGTACTTCAAGGAAAGCCGTGCTGAGTAGAAGCTATGGATGTGAGCAGAAGTAAACAGACTAATCTTAAGAACTACAATTACAAGGCTACAATACACTTCCAAATCGGCAGTGATGCACAGAGGCTAAGGTGAAAATTTTTTGGTTTTTCGACTACCATCTACAAATGCATGAGTAGAGGGCATTTTGCATAATAAAGTAGCAAGCGTTGGACCTATTGCTTATTGCCAATTTGGATAATTGGAACCCCTGATCCTTGACAAATAGGTGTGCTTTCATCGCAGCTATACTGCTCAGCATCAGCTTTTGCTAGCCTGCGGCGTAAACGCTCTAAGCTTGTAACATGTTCTCCACTATTCTCAAGGTACAAAGAAAGATCTAATGGGTTAGATTTTAGAATTTTTCAAATGGCTGGGTATCCTTGATTACATGTCTTTGTAAATCGGGTAAGAGAAATGCCCTTTTGATTTCAGTGCTTAACAAAGCGCTCAGCTTTTCTGAATGTACATTTCTAAATGGTTTCGTTTTCATATAAAATGTGATTTTTTGCAACTTCCTCGCCGATCACATTGGGATTGATGATGACGTTGTTCTGCATAAAGGCAAACGGCTTTTTTTCGCTTGTTGAAACTGCTGAAAACAATCGTTTTGAAGGAAAACGAACACTTTTTGTTCTTGTGACTGTTTCTCCAAACTGATCATCTGACGTTGTTTTGTGGCGGGTGATCTCTCCATAGGTAAACATTTTCTTAATCAGCGAACGCACAAATTACTCAATTACTGATTCCTAATGGCTGCTTGATACGTATGAGCGGGTAAGTTCGACTCATATTTTTGGCATAGTTATCAATCAACACCACTTTTGCGCCACTAAGAGCCAGTTTCAGCCTCGAAAATCCTCTTAGAATGCTATGAAAAATAACCAGAAACACTTGAAAACCAATTTGCCAGCTTCAAGTTTGCCACGAGATACTCATTTTATGCATGTGCATATTTATCGCCAGCCAATGCTTATCTCATATATCTAGAATATATGTAATGAATAGTGTATGCTAATTTGTATGGAATTAAAAACTTTCACATATGTGTAGTATTTTTTGATCTTTCAGCCATAATTTTATTCCTGTAAAAGGCGCAGAAGTTTCAACGATAGTCCAATTAGAAATCGTGACATCGCTGTAGTGCTTCCGAGTAAGTACTCTCGCTTTTTTTCAGTGTTCGTTTAAGCAGAAGATTTCGGTGCTTTCAAGTTTGAGCAGGGTATTGCACTTCAACTGTAATAGTAAGGAGCAGCGGCTGATTGAGAAAGTGTCTCAATTTTTCAAGCAGACGACATAATAAAAAGTAGCGTAAGTGACCTGTTTCTATTCCCAAATAATTACAGGCAGAGCAAAACATGAAAAAAAAATTCATTTTTGCTTTTCACAACTACTAGTCTGATTCTTCTGATTCTTACATCTTCTCTTTGGAATTTGAAAATTGTCTTTTGTAGAGTTTGATTGAAGTATTCTATGACATAAACTTGATTTTGGTTTCCTAGTGGCTTTTTCGAGGCAGCGAATTTGGTACCCTCTGTAGATAAAATGGAAATTTCTTAGAAATTTACACAGCTGTTTTGAGATTTTAAGTTTTAGGCCTTAGAAGATTTTGAGAGCACTTATCGGAATAGGATATACCACCCCCATCCTATTCAAAAAGCTTTTCGTCGTTACTTTCCCCAAAATTCTCGAACACTACTTCTAAAAGGAATGCTTATTTAAGGTTTCTACTGCTTTAGCTGCACATTTGAATTATTTTCTTTTAGTTGACGTTTCGGCTATATTGCCTTTGTTAGATTCAAATTATCGCATGCATAGGCAGTCCATACCAACAAGACCCTTTGCAGCTTTTGGTTCGCAGGTATTCAACGCCTTTTCTTAGTACTGATGCGGTTTTGATGGATGGATCACGTACGCGTGCGACAGTCCCAGAATGAAGAAGGCGATATAGCCGAAACGTCAGTCAATTGAAATGATACTCCGGGTAGCAGCTAAACAGTTTATCAGAAGCCAGTATGTTGAGATTGAGCGATGGTCTTTGGATGATACTGAAGAATGTACCAGCTTACAATAGTTCGGATACCAGTAGTACTTTAAGGAATGTCGTACTGAGTAGAAACTTTGGATGTGAGCAGCATTAAGCAGGCTAATCTTAAGAACTACAATTATAAGACTACAGTGCATTTTTAAATCAGCGCAGATGTTCGTAGATTTACCGACAAACAGCAATTCTTTCACAATCGCAAAAACTCAAGCAATATAATGTGCACAGGCTAAGTGAAAATTTTTTGGTTTTTCGACCACCATCTACAAATGCATGACTACAGGGCATTTTGCATAATAAAGTAGCAAGCGATGAACATATTGTTTATTGCCACCTTGCATAATTGGAACCCCTGACTCTTGACAAAGGTGTGCGTTTATCGCAGCGTTGCTCAGCATCAGCTTCTGTTAGCTAGCGGCGTAAACGCTCTAAACCTGTGACATGTTCTTAACTATTCTCAAGGTACAAAGGAAGATCTAAGTGGCTGGAGATCCTTGATTACATGTGTTGTAAATGGGGTAGGAGAAGTGTTCTTTCGATCTAAGTGCTCAACAATGTGCTCAGCTTTGTCTAAATGTACATTTGTGAATGATTTCATTTTCGAAGGAAAATATAATTTTTTATAGATTCTTCTCCGAACACACTGGGACTCATGACTTATCTTGCATAAAGAACGGCATTTTTACTTGCTGAGATTGGTGTGAAAACGATCGTTTCGACGGCAAACGAACATTTTTGTTCTCGCGACTGTCTCTCCAAACTGATCAGTGGACGACGTTTTGTGGCGGGTGATCTCTCCAAAGGTGAACATTTTCTTAATGCAGCGAACGCACAAATTACTCAATTATTTATTTCAGGGTATCGCTTCCAACGACTTCCTTCACATCTTTAAATTGAGGAAGGAGTGCTGGGAAGTCTTGTTAATCAGGTAAAACAAGCTTTTCCATTTATTATAAGAATTAGGCTTATAAGAAGGTCAAGGAGTCTGCACAACTTTCATATGCATTTTGAGGCAGGTAAGTTGATTATGTAAGGGAGATGACCCGCCTTAAAAACATGGGAGAGAGGGGGAAGGAATAAGCATTTTAGCTGATGAATTTCTTTTCATCGTCTGGTATCAAGCTCATGTAACCGTCAAGTTGATTCCAGAATTCATCCTTCTCCATCTGTGTGCAACCCACTTGAGATGCATAGGTAGTTTATAATTCGGAGAATTCTCTTCCCGGTATCCATTCTGATGCACATAAGTCGATCACCTTTTCGGTCCACGCCAGTGATTTTATTCCTTAGTGCTTCCGAAACCACTATACCACCATACTATAGTAAACCACTATACTTCTCTACAAAGGATCGAACAACATCAAACGCTGTTTCTGGTGTTGTAGATCCTTTGTAGAGAAGTTTGCAGCCGTCTCCTATATCCCTCGACTTCTCCTCTTTCCACTTTGTCTCCTGAATGCAGTCGATATTAACTCTACGTCTTCTCAGAATAGCAGACAATTCGCACTGTAGTGCTGTGAGTGATCCTACATTGATGGTGGCAGACGTAACGGTGAGAACTTAGATACTCGCCTATGGTGAGCTATCTTTAGCCGTTCCGCTAACCCTGCTAAAACGGTAACCCTAGCATACTATTCGCACTCGTCAGGCACGAATGCACGTCGCCTCCGTGGAACGCCTAGCTTTTACTCGTAATATCCGATGAGACATACAAAAGCATCTGATGCGACGTGGTTTCTTCTTCAGCCGGCTTGCCGCTTTCTTCCTTTGTATGAGCAGCCTGAATCTGGAATCGTGGTCCTTGCCAAGCTAATTAGGCTCGTGGCGGATCCGAACCTGTTACCTTCCTCGTCGTAGTCAAGGGCACTAACCTCTAGGCCAACTCTGCCCACGAAGCAAGAAAGAGCTAGAAGAAGATGTGCAGATGTGGAAGACTCAATTGGAGCAGCATGGCTTACGACTCAACACAGTAAAGACGGAGTACATGGAGCTTGGAGCCCAGACCCCTGGAATCATCCAAACCGGCAACGTGATGAGCAAAAAGACTACCACGTTCAAACATCTAGGAGGCGAAATCGCCGCCGATGGAAGCCTCCACCACTAGATACTTGGAAGGATCAACGCGGCTTGGTTAAAGTGAAGAAGCCTTACAGGAGTCCTATGCGACAGAAGAGTACCTCAGAAGCTCAAGTCTTAGATATACCGTACCATAATCCGTCCAACTGCCCTCTATGGTAGCGAATCTGGCCGAGCACGCAAAACAACGAACGAAGACTCGGTGTAATGGAAACGAGAATGATGCGATGGGCCACTGGAGTCAACATGCTAGATCATGTCTTGAACGACACCATCAGAAATACATTGAAGGTTGCTCCGATCATCAAAAAGCTACAAGAGAAGGCCTACGATGGTACGGACATGTAAGAAGAGAAGAAAGCCATATGACAAGACTCGCCATGTTGCTAAATGTTCCCGGGAAGAGGCCAAGAGGAAGACCTAGAATGAGATGTATGGACAAGTTCAAATCAGACCTAAGAGAGCTTGGCTTAGATGAGAACCAAACATCGAACCGAGAGGAATGGAAAAGACTAACAAGAGTAGCAGATCCCGTGCGAACGGGAAGATGCAAGGAAAAAAGGTTGAAACCACCGCGCCTATCGTAAGCAGGCATAAAGATCCAGTAATCGCTGGGATTCAACTTGACTTCACGCGTCAGAACTATGAAGCAAAACAAGAGGTCATAGCTCTTCTACAAACAAGAGATTCAAGCCCCAGCTTCTTCAAGCGGTCATGATAACTCACAGCAATACAATCGGGGGTACATCTCCCCATCACAATTCCAGTAAAAGCTCTCTCAACTCTTTCAAGCTTTTTAATACTTTAGCTTTACTCGGACTGCAGAGTTGTGAGCAGTATTCAAGTTTAGGTAAAACAAAACATTTGTAAAGTCGTAACATAACCGTTGGATTATTCGTGTGGACATTCCAAGTAGCCGGAAGACCGAGCCAAATTCCTAGGTAGCAATCTCATTTATATGCTCAGTGAAATCAAGAGACTTATTGAGACGAAAACCCACATCAATCATATATGAAACTACTCTGTCTCAAATCTACACATTCAACTTGTACGTCTGCTTTTGGCCACCGCCTAGGTGCATAGAAGAGGATTTTTCAAAATTGATCGGTAAGCACCAAGCAAAGGCCTACTCTGCAAGCCTACATAACGATGCTTGCAGAGCGGATCTTACCTCATGCGAGTTTTCATTCACACAAATCCCATAGATCTTTATATCATCGACGTACGATTTGACTTCAATGTGTGTAGACGTGATGATAGCACTTGGCATATCAACAGTATAAAGCAAAAACAAAAGTGGGGAGAGGACACCCCTGAGGTACTCCACTGGTACGTATATGCCTTTGCGAGTGGCAATGAGCAACTCCAACAGTTTCTGGCAGATAAGTACGAGGCAATCCATTCCAGTAATTTGCCATCTGTACCAAAATACTTTAGTTTACTCAGAAGTTTTCCGCGGCTAACTTTATCAAACGCCATTGTTAGGTCAACATAAATAACATTCCCTTGTTCGATGCCAACGCCCAATCAAATAAACTATTCGCTAAATTAGTAGTGGTAGACGTCCGAGAATAAAACCATGCTGTTCCATAGGAATAACATGAACCTTGTTAAGCCATGATAGCAGTCTGGCCCTTATGATCTTTTCATTACTTTCACTGCTGTAGGCAATAAACTGATAGGACGATAGCTGCTTGTCTGGTCTATACCGGATGATTTTGGAATAGCCTCACAATGGCTTCTTTCCAACACTGAGGCACCTCAACTTAGAAGCATCGACATATTGAATATATGGGCAAGTGGTGCAGCCAGAGTAAATACACATTTTCTACAAATGATTTGCGATAATCCGTCATAGGTTTCACTTATGGACTGTCTAAGAATTTTCAAAATAGTGTAAACTTCAGAAGGTGAAAGAAAACATCACTGAAGTGATGTGGGATAGGACACTATTTATGCAAATGGGTGTTTTCATCAAATTTTTACTAGTGAAAACATTCGAGAAATAATTAGCTGAAGCATGTGCTTGCCAGAGACAGAATTTGCACCGGAACTGTTCGTCAAAGTGGAGAGCTTGCTATTGGCCTTCATTTCATATTATATAGGAGTACACAGGTTTCATGTTATTCCTAGCAGTTCTTAGACAGTCGAAGGGATACCTCCGGCGGGCATATGGCGCGAGTCTGCCACTTCGCGCTTTTTGTGCTCAGAGACAGAATTTGCACCGGAACTGTTCGTCAAAGTGGAGAGCTTGCCATTGGCCTTCATTTCATATTATATAGGAGTACACAGGTTTCATGTTATTCCTAGCAGTTCTTAGACAGTCGAAGGGATACCTCCGGCGGGCATGTGGCGCGAGTCTGCCACTTCGCGCTCCGGAGCCCTGCCATTTCACGCATTTTTGTGCTCCGGGGCTCTCCCAAAAGTGGCGCACCTCCGGAGCAGAGATTTGCGCGTCGCGGAGAGGGGTCCCATTCATTCACCGTGACGTCACAAACAGGAAGAATGGGACCCCTCTCCGCGACGCGCAAATCTCTGCTCCGGAGGTGCGCCACTTTTGGGAGAGCCCCGGAGCACAAAAATGCGTGAAATGGCAGGGCTCCGGAGCGCGAAGTGGCAATCCTCCGCTGGGGAAAGCCCGCGGCTCTGCCATTTCTGCTCCGGAGGTATGCCGTCGACTGTCTGAGTTATTTTACGCTCCCGATACGCAAGGTGAGCATGTGAGCATCAATGTCTCGACAGACTTTCTTAAATAGTATTGGATAGTTCATGACTGCTTCTGCATGCTGAGAGCTTGTAGTTGCTTCAGGAGTTTGACTATGTTACGTTGAGGAAAATTGAAATGTACAAGTTTTGCTAAAGATTTGTATAGTTCGGTACAAATTCTGCAGTAAACATCTGCGGAGGATGTATACAGGTCAAAAATTGCCAACCAACCGATAGCAGAGAAGTAATTATTCAACGCCTCATAATTGAGATCAAGAAAGTCTGGCATGGGCACTTTCACCTCAAGATATTTAAGATAAAAGTGAAGAATACCATGGCATGATCAGATGAGGCAAAGGGAGGAAGCACTTTGGTCAGGGGATGTGTGGTGGTTGTAAGAATGACATTCAAAACATGGTCAGAATGAGTTGGTGATTTAACATATTGCGTGAAACAACTTTCCTCAAAGAATTTGAGAAATCGTGATAATATGTGATTTAGAGGTTTATATCTGTCTAATTTATAAATCGCCGAGAATGACAGTAGAGTCTTGCTCGGTCACTAAGTCATAAAACAGATCGATAAGCGACTCATAATCATCATGTTCAGAAGTAGGAGTGCGGTAGACAAAATAAATTTAATTTGGAACGAACTGCCGTAGGCATATTGAAAGAAAGAACATCTGCTTTTTTGTGTATTAGACAACTCGAATATTAAGCAATGCACCATAATGCGAACTCCCCCACCTTTGCATTTATTTCTGTCCATCCGCACAACAATGTAGGGAAGATCCCCAATCAATTCAGAGTCAGAAACCTTGGTGGTGAGCCAAGCCTCAGTAATAAATACTATATCGGGCGTAGAAGACAATAAAAGTACATGCCAAATGAGACAATTTACTCATCAGACTTCGTGCATTGAACAAGTAGCAACCCACTGATACAGAATCATTGTAGCAATTTATGCGTTTCCCCACCGTGGCCAATATCGCTCAAACGTAGTTCTCCTCGAAATACACCACCCATTCCCGCTCTGACCTACCCTTACTCCGCTCGCGGGCTACTTGCCTCAATTCAAACCCGCGTTTCCTTTCGATAGAGCACAGCCGAA